CAGTCTTCTCACATCCCCTTGTGTGGGTGAGCTGGGCATAAGGGGGTTTTGTCGGGCTGTGCCTCCAGGTGGACTGAAGAATGCATGTGGCCACAGGGCGTGCTGGTGAAGCACAGCAAGAACGTCTACAAAGCAGTGGGCCACTACAACGTGGCCATCCCCTCCGATGTCTCCCACTTCCGGTTCCACGTGAGTCTCCTCCCCTGGGAAGGAGGGGTGGGGCCTGATCTAGAGGGCAGGAGGATCAGCTGGGCAGGAAGGTGATGTCATAGCAAGAGGCGGCTATTTTCGGTATTTCCCAAATCCAAAAGAAGACAATGCACATGTGCAGCCCAAGGACAGCCATACAAATGATCCCTTCATAACTGTAGCTCACTTGGTACCAGATCTTTGAAAACATTGGGTGGAGGTAGAAAAGATGATACAACAAAAGGAGGGGTTGTTGGTGGTGAAAATAATTACACTCGTCTTTCCTTACTGTGTGCCAGGCACTGTGGTAAACACTTCCCATGCACCCTCCCATTCAGTCTTCACCAGAACCTTGTGTATGAAAGAAATACCAGGGCTGTCCTGGTTTTCAGGTACTGAAATCAGCTTAGAGAGTTTAACTTGTTCCAAGGGTGCCTTACTGGGAAACTTGGGAACTAATGGTAATGGCTCATGGACTCAGTACAATGGAAAGGGCTGCTCAAAATCATCTGGGCTGGTGGTTTCCATTTTATTTACTTATTTTACTGTCAAAATCCTTTTTTCCAACTCAGTCAAACTAAAGTTCAGTATATAGGACTTCATGGCGCTGCTCTGTTTGAAAGGGTTGGAACTCCCCTCTCTTCCTGCTTACCACTGTGGTAGCCCCTAAAAGACCTCCTGGAACCTGGGGCTCTGAGGAACACAGTTTGAGAAATCATTGATCTGGGCTAACCTCTTCTTTTCCCAGTAGAGAAACCTGAGGTTCAGACAGGGAAGGGACTTGCCCAAGGTCCTGCAGCCTGTCAGGTGCAGAGCTGAGCCTGGCGTGCTGGTCTCTCGGACTCCTGTTTCCTGGCACTTCTCCTGCCATCCTATAATCAGCTCTTGAGGTTTAGGTACCTTGGCCCCTGCAGAATCAAGATCCCTGGACATCGATCATTCTTTTAAACTGACCAGAAAAATTTTCTTAGTCTCTACACTCTACCTTGCCCTGTAGACACCAGGTAAGAGTGATGTGTCTCCGTGTCCCCTGGAAGCTTCCGGCCTAGCGGGGGATGCTACACATGAAATAGTAAATGACTCAGGCTGTAGAGTCTATAATAACTTTCCATGCCTCTGTCATAAGATTCTACTTTGTTCAGGCCTGACAGTACCCAGGAAGTCACATATAATAAGGTGTTGGTTTTCGACGAGCAAAAGTTTGAGAGAACAAGCAGGACTTCTCAAGAAAAGCTTCTGGGAGGAGGTGGAGGTTGATCTGGATCTTTTTTTTGTTTTTTTTTGATCCGGATCTTAAACAGCTTCTGTGGGAAGCAGTAGTCTTGACAGAAGGAACACCACAAACAAAGGCAGAGAGATGGCAAGGTCCACACCCAACCCTACGAAGTCTTCCTCCCCACCCAAGTCTGCATGGGGCCCAAGAGCTTGACCCCTTCACTGGCCTACCCAGAACCCCCTTCCAAGAGGCAGGTTTCTGGAGCCCACTTTGAGTCCATGCCTACTCTTTCCTGGGCAGTTCTTTTTCAGCAAACCCCTGCGGATCCTCAACATCCTTTTGCTGCTGGAGGGCGCTGTCATCGTCTACCAGCTGTACTCCTTAATGTCCTCTGATAAGTGGCACCAGACCATCTCACTGGCACTCATCCTCTTCAGCAACTACTACGCCTTCTTCAAGCTGCTGCGAGACCGCCTGGTATTGGGCAAGGCCTACTCGTACTCGGTCAACCCCCAGAGGGACCTAGACCACCGGTTCTCCTGAGCCCCAGGGCGACCCAGGGACAGCATCCAGGCTTCAGCCAGGGGCTCCCTGGGAAGCGGCTGTTGGGGAGGGATGGGTGGGGGGCAAAAAAAAAAAACAAAAACCAGACAAAAAAAATCCACCAGAGCTTTGTATTTTTGTTACATACTGTTTTTCTTTGATAATTGATGTGATTATGAGGAGAAAAAAAAAGTCCTATTTTTATACTCCCAATAAGCCTGTGTCCTGTATTTCTTTCTCCTTTTCTTGCCTGTCAGGCAGAGAGCAGAGGTGTGGGATTCTTGGCCAGGACACCCCATGTGTGGCTTCTGGGGCCCCTGTGAGCTCTGCCTTCTCCGGTGGAGAAAAGATGAGACACCCGAGGTCACCGTAGCATGGTAGCTGCTGCTGGCTGAATGCTCGCTGTGTGCCAGAGGCTGCTCTACGTGTATGACAGGCCTTGTCTTAATCCAGTTTTTATGACAACCCTAGGAGGTAGGTGCTGTCACTCCTATAGATGAAAACAGGAGCTCAGGGAGCTATCTATCATGACTTGCCCAAGGTAACACAGCTAGGAAGTGGTAGTGCTGGGTCCCAAAACCCTCTGAAAGATAACACTACTATCCCAGCAGAATGTGATGTACTGATTCCCAGCACGCAGTCACTGAGACCCTGCTCTGTGTCAGATGCCGAGGTACATGGTGAAGATGCCAAGACACAGAAGCAAACAAGTCACTACACTGGGAGGGGTATAACAGTTACAAGGTACAGAATAGCACAGGGGAGAGAACATTTAATGCTCTCTGGACTTCTTGGAGGAGGGGATAGTCTGAGTTGTATCGGCCACTTCCTAGGTGGACAAGAGGGGGTAAAGGCGCTTCAAGCCGAGCAGTAGCATTCTGGGGTATTTGGAGAAGGTAAGCAGAAAGTGGTTCCTAGAGCAAGAAAGATAAGGAAAGTTGGGGGGAGATGGGCTGGATCTGGAAAGGTCTGCAGGGACTGGATCAGGGAGGACCCATGGCTCTAGGCTAGGGAGGGTGTGTGAGCAAGGCCAAGGGCTTGTATGGAAACAAAGCCACTTGGAAGGCCACCTGGCTCCTGTGGAGCATAGGATGGAGGGCTCAGGGGCTGGCAGGAGAGGAGACATGGTCATAGCCATTCATCTAGTCTGCCCGTGTCCCCTGAGCCCTTGTTTGGCTACAAGTTATGCAGATGCTCCAATGGTGGTGTACAGGAGGCAGACACTGCAGCAAATGTTTGTGGTACCTCTGCTGAGGCAGGCATTGTGCCAGGCACTGGGACAGAAACAAAGATGAGGAAGATACTGTCCCTTCATAGACAACCAGGAGAGAGAGACACCTTGTGAACAACCTAGATTGCCAGTTGCTGAGGAAAATGTGTGTCCAGGGCACCGGGGAGCAGAAAGGACAGATAGTCTGACTCTGTCTGGAAAGACAGGCTTTTTCAAGAAGGTGAAAATTGTATTCGGTCTTGAAAGTGAGTAGTTCACCTCATGGTCAAGGGGGAAGGGAGGGCATTGTGTTCCAAGCAGAGGAAAGAGCATATGCAAAGGCACAAAAGAAGATAGGAGCATATTTGGGGGAATGTGGTTCCCCAAATATGGATGGAGCCTGGGTTGCCTGGCAGAGAGTAGCCCAAGAAGTCAGTAAGGACCAGCCTAACTGTCAGATTGAAATGTTTGGGCATTACCTAAGGCCGTTAGTAGGAAATCACTAAGCAGAGGACATGATAAGGTCTCTGCTTTTAAAGAGATAACGGGTGCAAATGGGAGAACCTGGAGGCACACCAGTGAGGAGGCAGGTAAAATAGACCAACAGAGAATGAAGAGGTCTGACCTTGAGCAGTGGCAGTAGGAGGAGAAAGATAACACTCCCTTTCCTGACCCTGAGTCCTAGAATTGGCTTTTTGAGTTGTTTCCCTCGGTGGGCCAGGTCCACAACTAGAGGTGGCAATTTGTTATGGCAGGACCTGGACTTCCAAAAGATAGCTCCCCCTTGGGACCAGTGACTTGAAGACATAGCCTTCCTCTGTGTGTTGAGGTGGGGGACAGAAGGACCGGAATCCTATTATGCAAAAAGGGAGGTCTAATGTGTACCAGCCATAAGTTCCATGATTCAAAAGACACACGACAACGGGACTTCCCTGGTGGTCCAGTAGTTAAGAATCCGCCTTCCAATGCAGGGGACGTGGGTTCGATCACTGGTCGGGGAACTAGGTCTCGCATGCCGCAACTAAGAAGTCCACATGCTGCAGCTAAGAAGCCCACATGCCCCAACTAAAGATCCCGTGTGCCGCAATTAAGGACCTGGCACAGCCAAAATAAATAAATATTAAAAAAAAAAAAAGATGCATGAACCTCAGAGCCTCAATTTCCTCATCTCTAAAAAGGGAGATCATATCCCTTTTTTTGCGTAACTCACAGATCTGTTCATTCGTTTGTTTATTCATTCAACAATTATTCATGGAGCACATACCACGTGCCAGATACTGTGCTAGGTGCTGGAGATCAGTGATGAACACTATAGAACTGACTTGTGCCCTCAGAGAGCTTGCAGTAAGGCTAAATGAAATAGCTCTGTCAACTATAAAGCACTGCACCGGTCTCATTATTTTTCCACTTTGTATCTCCCAATAAGATTGTAATCGGGTTTACTCTAGACTTCTTCATTTCCTTATCGCTATATCCTTGAGCAAGTCACTTCACCTTTCCAGATGACTCCTTATTCATATATCCAGCTCAGGGTCTATGGGTGGTTTTAACTACAAAAGGAAGGAATACCTTTCTGGGAGAAAAAGTTTCTACGGGAGGAGACCTCACTACAAAAAGGAAATAGCAGAAAAAGCTGAGAAATCCTAAGCACACTTAACTTTCTTTAGTAGGTATCCCTGCCAGTTTTTCTCCACCCACTCCTTTCATATTCCATCCTTAGTCCCCGCCTTTAGTAGCTGCGGTCTCTTTAAATGCGGTCGTCGCTGTGAACTAGGCGGTGGGGCCGAAAGCGCGTTTCTTCCCGGGATTGTTAAGTTGTTTGTCCGTTTCGGGCTGCCGTCCTGTAGATCCGCCATATTGTCTGCTGAAGCTGCCGCCGAAGCTGCCGCCGCTGCCGCCGCTGCCGCCGCCAAGTAAGAGCGAGCGGAGCCGCGATGGGTGAGTAAGGAAACCAGGCAATTGGGGACTCGGGCTGAGGCAGTGTCGGGGCTTGGAGTCTGGCGAGAGCCTGTTTGCAGTCTGCAGAGGATGTCTGAGTCTCCTCCAAATAGGGTTGAGGGGAGAAGCCAGGCCGGGAGCGCCGCTCAGGCCAGTTTGGGGCCAGGTTAGGGCCCAAGCGGGGAGCAGTCTTTGGGGGCTGGTTTCGGGAACACCTTGCCACTCCTGGAGCCCCCACGTGGTGGCCCTGGGCCGGACCCCACGCGTCCCGGAGGTTAGAAAGGGGCTGACCCTCCGGTCTGGGCCGGGCTCCCGGTGGCAGGCCCGGGAGGCGTTTAAGGCAGCCCTCTCCGGCGTGTGTCTGACCGACGCGCCTCTTAACTGGATTCACTGGTTGCCCTGAACTCAGGGAAATCCTCCCTACGTCGCAGAGAGAGTTCTCTGGCGAAGGGACGCCAGGCGAGCCAGCTCCAGGCCTGTAACCAGGGGCAGCCATGCCGAAGGCAGCCTGGGCCGCTGAAGGCCGGGAGAACTTACCGAGCCGAGGCGGAAATGGGGTGGTTCGGTTGGGTTCAGAGTGACAGCCTTCGTAGTGGTAGAAAACCAGTGCCAAGATCTCGTAGTCATGTATAGGTTGGGGGCTTTAGGTTTCTGGGCCTGGCCCTGGTTAGGAGAAAAGGAACGACCTGTTGCTCTTTCTAAAGGGACTCCAGGTAGCAAGGCCTGTGCTCAGAGAGAATACGATGGCGAAGTCTTTGGACTTAGGGACAGAACCATCAGTGGTACTTCTTCTCCAGCAATGAGAACTATTAAATTTGCTAAGCTCTTCCTGTGTGCAGGCATTGCTCTGATTGCTTTACATGTCACGTTTTATTTAATATGCACAACCTATTTATTGAGATAGATACTGCTATTATCCCTATTTTACAGATAAGGAAACTGAGGCTTAGGGAGGTAAAGTAACTTACCCAAGGTCACACAGTCAGTGGCTTAAACCAGGTTGATCGCTCCAGAGCCCTAGTTTATAGCTGTTGTTCTTTATGGCTTGGCCCCCAAGTGATTGGGCTGGAAAAGGGGGAAAGAAAGCTTTTAATCCTAGGCAGAGTTGTAAAGGTGTTTTGTATTTTTGCTAGTGGGCCCACTTTGAAATCTTTAATCTGAAAGAAACTGGAAAACTGCAAAGTGAATTGCTAACCCCAACTATTGTGGGTGTGTTGGGGGTGGGGATTGAGATTCTGGGATTGAGTTTTGTAAGAAACCTGATCCTGAGGAAACATAAATTACTCCCTTGAGCTGCATGGCAATGACTTTAGAATCAGATCTGGTATTATAATCCTGCCTGCTACTTCGTAGCTCTCATCCAGAGAAGTCACTTAAATGTCAGATGCAGTGATGCATATGGAAAACATCCAGTACAGTCCACGATAAATGTTATTTTCTTCCTTTCTGAGCCTTCCTTTCCTCATCTCTAGAAAGAGGGGAGGGGGCAGGGTTATCGAGGTGTTTGAGAATTAAATAAGATACCACAGTGTTTGGAGACTAGTAAGGGCTCTATAAATATCAGAACAGATTCTTTTCCACCTTCAATAATGTTTTCAGTAATGTTTGTTCCTTTCCTTTAAGTACTCTGGTTTCCAGAATTCTCCATTAAGACTGATAGGCCTGTCCTTGTAGCTGCAACTTTATGAATCAATGAAAAATTTTAGGGGCTTTTATGTTACAGATTTTGTATTGGCCTTCAATTTCAGGAACACTGCTGCCTCAAAGGGAAGGGGCTAATACTTAGTTTATTAAGCCCAGTGATATAAATTTGACAGCGATTTACTCAGTTTTTACAGATGGGGAAACTACCTCAGAGAATATAACACAGTTAGTTACAGCAAAGCCAGAAGTGAGATTCTTATCCATTTTGCTGCACATAAACCTCTAAGAAGACTTCAGGTGTGATTAAATTTAATCCTTTTCTGGTAAACTTTGAAATGAAAGTTCTTCAATAGAGCAACAGAACCTGACCAGGGTCCTGAAGGGGAGTTTTAGTCTAGAGTCAGGCAGCCTCCTCTCTTCTCTGCAACTCCATTTCAGGTACCTCCCCGCCACCCCCATCCCGCCTTGCACCTTGTCTTTCTGAACACCAGGCCATTGGGGTTTTTGTTTTGTGGGGTTTTTGTGTGTGGGTTGGTTATTTTTGTTTTTTTCTCTGATCCTTATACTACGGGGTGAAATGTATCCTTACATTTAATCCTAACATCAAATCCGAGATAATTTGGGTTATCCCCATTTATAAATGAGTAAACAGGCTTTGAGAAGATTAGGTGATTAAGCCCAAGGCTGGTGATCTAGGCCCTAGGGCTGGGAACACTAACATGGCCTGCGTCACACCTTCATGAATCTAGAACCTGCTGTGTTTCACTGCCTCTCAAGAGTACGCTCCTCGAGCTCTGGCCTATATCCTATACTATTTCTCCTGTGCCAAACTTCACTAGCCTTAACAGACCTTTACAGTGATTTCATTGCTCTTAGGAACCCTGTAGGGTTGAGGCTTGCAGCTCTGGAAGTTACTTTTTCTAACCCTCCCTAGCAGAGACCACAGCCTCTCAAGACTAAGTCTTGGCAGACACCGGTCGTTTTTATCACTGTTCCTGCCATCCTGCTAACCAGGAATCTGGCAGCACCTTCCCAGCCCCAGGGGGTAGGTCTTGATTGATATAAACTAAACCAATCATTGTAATTCTATCTCCCTAGGCTGTGATTGATTTAAGTATGGGCATGTGATGCAGATTTTGGCTAATGAATGTGAAGGGAAGCCTGGAGGACTTCTGAAAAAGAGTTCCTTATTTGCCAAGTTTTATTCTGTTGTTTTTTTGCCACTTTATATTTTAACCCAGGTATCACCAAAGTGTGAGAGCTTCAAAGAGATAGAGAGATAGCAAAGCTATAATAATAGCGAACACTTACATAGAACTTGCTATGTGCTAGGCACTAAGTACTGTAATACTAATTCATTTATTTCTCAGATTCTCACATTCTAGTTGAGAAAACTGAAGCACAGAGAGGTTCAGTAACTTAAGCAAGGTCACAGCTAGTAAATAGAGGAAATACTCAGGTAGTATGGTTCTAACCAAAATATGGGCTATTAAGGGCTGTGTTCTGCCTCTGGAAAGGAAAGATCCCTTTTCTGACTCTGAAATTGCCATTAGCAATGCTGGGATCATGAGGCAGAATTTAGAAATAAGAGCAGGCGGTTCTAAGGGTGAGGGTCGAGGAGACGGAAAGAATCTGATTTCTTCATGATGTTTTTGGAACTGTCCTGTCACTGGGCTCTAGGATACGAAAAGCTGCTTCTGGTTTGCTGCAAGTAACAGAACCTTTCTGATAATGCCTCCAGGTCAGGAAGTAATTTAGCTCATTTCTTAGTTTCCCTCCAGCCTTGCCCACCCACCCACCCACCCCACAGTGCATAACAGCAACTTAGAGAGCTACTAAACTGTGTCCCACAAGCATCAAACTCACTCCCCCTTCCTGCTGTACCTTTCCTACATTTTTGTTAATGGTGGGACCACTGGCCCAGACACTAGGGCATAAGATAGAAATCTTACCTATCTTTGGTTCCTTACTCTTTTCTTCCCTTCCTATATTGGCAGTTGTTGGATACTGTGATCCTGTTACTGATGTCTTCCCTAAATTGTTTTGTGTATGTTTTTCTCACAGCATAGTCCCACAAAGACTTAATTCTGTGGTCTTTAAAATTGCTAAGTCTCAGGCTCCTTGATGTGAAAATATGATAATACTATTTATTAATGTTGTTAGTGAAGTGTCAGTGAAGTACTAGATGTCAGAAAATATTGTAAATTGTAAAGGTGTTGTTACTTCAGGAGCCTTCTAAATCTGTTCTATAGCCTCCTTACCATGACCAGTTCTGCTGCAGCAATGTTGCTAAAACACCCTTCTGGTCTTATCACTCTTCTCCTTAGTTTAGGAACCTTCATGGACTTCTTTTTGTCTACAGGATAAAATCATAACCCATAGGGTATGGTATTCAAGGCCTTCCTGTTGACTTTACTAGTCTTACTCGATTTAATATTTATCCACATATCCTGCATTCTACTCAGACTACCTCCTTGGTATGTACTTCACCTTTCCTGGTAGAGAAAGTGACAAAAGCAATCCCTTCCCCACCCATCTTTTCCTATGAAAATCTTGGCTGTTTTACAAGATTTAGTTTAAATGCTACCTCCCTCAGGGACCTTTCCCAAATATGTGTGTTATGCCTTCCAAACTGGAAGTGAACTATCCTTCTGAATTCTGTAGCACTTTGTTCTTGCCTTTCATATAGCTCTTTTCATATTTTATCTTGTGTTACAGTTATTTCATTCTGTAATACAATTAGAGCTTTGACCAATTGCTTAATCTCCAGAGATTGATTTTCCTCATCTCTTAAAACAGTGGTGATAGCATCTGCCTCATAGGAGTGTTAGGGTGATTAAATGAGCTAATGCTTGTAAAGTGTTTTAACATGGTGTTTAGCACACAGTGAGTACTCAGTAAGTGATAACTAATTGCTCTTAGTCATACAGTGAGCAAATAAAGTACTTAGTATGTGTCAGGCCCTGTGCTAAATATAAAAGATAAATCAATTTGTCTTTTAGGGGAAGGCAGAAACATATTATGAATACTTGTCAGAAACATTTTTAGGGATTAGGCAGGCAACTGTTATTTGTTAATTTCAGCAAATGTTTACTGAATGCCTACTGTGTGCCAGCTACTGTTCTAGGCCCTGGAAATACAGCAGTGAACAAAACAGACAAAAATATATATATATTTTTAGTGAAATCCTAGAGCTTAAATTCTAATGGGTAATCGAGTAAAATCAACCAAATGTAGACTGGCGGGCCAACTAGAGTCCCATGCAATCTGATGAGGTCCAGCCAGTTGTTGCCATGACAGAATGTAGGTCTAGTGTTGCCTTACTGCATAATTTCGCATCCCTTTCCGCAATCCCT